GAAGAATGAGCCCAGACGAAAACTAAGTTCCCACTCACTAGAGGGGGAGGTCATAAGCGTCTATACCGTAAAATCGATTTTCGACGGAATGAAAAAGACATATATGGTAGAATCATAACCATAGAATACGACTAAAGAATTCTCGATGTGAAAACACAGAGACAAAAGGCTGATCTGGTTGTATCTGTCTTGTGTGTTTGCTCCGTTGGGTGTTATTATGACGATGCATATGTGATCACATTGCGTGGCTAAAAAGTACCTGGTGTGTTGCAAGGTCCAAAGGGCATCCACCTATATGCATATGTGCCAAAGGGGCATGTGAAAGTCGTCTTCTCCTGATCCTCAGGTACAATGTGGATCTGGAAGTAGCCTGAGTATCCATCAAGAAAACAGTAGTGAGATTTACCAGCCAACCGCTCCAACATCTGATCAATAAATGGAAGAGGATAGTGATCCTTGCGGGTTTCCTGGTTGAGCCTACGGTAGTCTATGCAGACTCTCCAACTGTTTTGAGCTCTTGTTATAATCAGCTCAATATTCTGGTTGACAACCACAGTGACTCCCGACTTCTTAGGGACCACCTGAACAAGACTAACCCACTGGCTATCAGAGATGGGGTAAATCATTCCAGCTTGCAAGAGTTTTGTTACTTCCTTCTTCACCACATCTAGAATCAGTGGGTTCAAACGCCTTTGGGGCTGTCTCACTGGTTTAGCTCCTTCTTCAAGTAGAATACGGTGCATGCATGTAGAAGGACTAATGCCAATAATGTCAGCCATTGTCCACCCAATTGACCTCTTATTTGCTTTCAGCAAAGTTAACAGTTTATCCTCCTGCTCAGGTAGAAGGTTCTTTGCCACAATGACTGGTAGCTGCTCATTCTCCTCAAGGAATGCATATTTTAAGTGGTCAGACAGAACCTTCAACTCCAATTTCGGAGGCTGCTCAATGGACGGAAGAGGTGTAGTTGGTGGTGCAAGTTTTGTAGAAAACAAGTCAGCAGCTATGCCTGTAGACAAATTCTCAGAAACACAATTAGGATCATCAATAATATCAGTAGGCAATTCAGACAATGCAGATTCATCAATCAGTGCATCATTAAAACCAGAAAGATATGATGTTATTTCAGCACACACAATGCATTCTTGACTATCACCACAACCACAGAAATCAGAATCATGAGTAGATGAAAAATCAGAAAAATCAGCAAGGAATTTAGAAGAAACATCCTTAACAACTTCATCTATCACATCAATGCATAAAATAGAATGCTCTTCCGTAGGATGTTTCATGGCATCAAATATATTAAAATGCACAATGCTATCACCAAACTCCATGGAAATAGTACCAGAATGAACATCTATCTTGGTCCTAGTTGTTCTCATGAAAGGCCTACCAAGTATAATTGGTGATCTACTAATAGCAGTCTCACTCTCCATTTCTAAAATGTAGAAATCAGCAGAAAAAATCAGATTATTAACTCTGACCAATACATCCTCAATCAAACCAGATAGGTGAATACTACTCCTATTAGCTAATGTAACCACAATACTAGTAGCACGCAAAGGACCAAGACCAAGAGACTTATACACAGATGCATGCATAACATTAATGGAAGCCTCTAAGTCTAGCATGCAATCATGAAAAACAGAATTTCCAATCACACAAGGAATAATAAATGTCTCTGGATCTTGACACTTTTTAGGCATGGATTGGATGAGTGCTGATACATTCTGACTCAGGTTAACTCGCTCATCTCCTTTCAGTCTTCTCTTGTTGGTGCACAGCTCCTTTAAAAACTTAGCATATCTCAGAATCTGTTGTATTGCAACTAGAAGAGGGATGTTCACCTCAACTTTTCGGAAGGTGTCAAGTATCTCTTTATCTTGAGCCTTTGCTGATTGCTTCTTGGACTTAATGGCTCTCTGAAGGAATGGCAGAGGGATATGGACATCAGATGTATCAGTGCTCTGCTTCTTGGAACTAGTGTCACCTCCCTTAGATGACTCAGCAGCAGCTTGGTTTGGCTCTTCCACTTGCTTTCCAGACAGCAAAGAAATAGCACTTACATTTTCGCTTCCTTTTGGATTTGGAATTGTTTGGGATGGAAGGGAGCTGCCACTTTCTTGTTGATTCTGACTCATTGATGTTGCAAGTTGGACAATATGTGTTTGCAGATTCTGGATGGAAGACTCAGTCCTCTACTGGAACTGCAGATTGTTAGTTGCCATCTGCTTCACTAAATCCTCCAAAGAAGGACCATTGCTACTGGTTTGCTGCATTGGTGGCTGCTGAATTGGTTGCTGCTGCATTGGTTGCTGTTGTTGTGGAGGTGCAGATTGTTGGAAATTTTGCCTCTGCTGTGAGGGTACAAACTACTGCCTCTCCTGGAATGGTGCACTTTGCTGATTCTGGTTCCATTTGAGATTTGGATGATTTTTCCAGGCAGGATTATATGTATTAGAGAAGGAATTGTTTTGCTGCTGCTGGTGGTACTGTGGCTTTCCAGGAAAAACTGCAGCAACAGACTGATCAACTTGGAAACCACTGTCTTGAAAAGGACAAGCATCCGTGGGGTGAGAAGGATCACAGCAGATGCCACACAGGTTGCTTGTTTGTTGAGCAGAAGGTTGCACTGTCTGTGTCACTGCCAACTGCCTCACCATTGATGTCAACTCATCAAGCCTGTTCTCTATTCCCTGGTTATTTGTGCTTGATGCTCCTGCTGCTGCCACTATTGGATTTTGCATTGGAGAAGATTGGACTTGGAACACTGCACTGCTGTTTGCTCTAGTGCCAAATTGTTGAGCATTAGTCGCTATCTCAGCAATCAACTCTTTTGCCACAACAGGTGTTTTATTTCCCAAGACTCCTCCACTAGCTGCATCTAAAAGGTTCCTATCCATAGGCAACAACCCTTCATAGAAGTAAACAATCAGGAGATTGTCTGGAATCTGATGATGTAGGCAGCTTGCACAAAGCCTTTTAACCGCTCCCAATATTCATGCATGTTCTCCCCATTAGCCTGCCTTATGCCACTGATCTCCTTTCTGCTTGTGGTGGCCCTGGATGAAGGGAAGAATTTCTCCAGAAACAATCTTGACATGTCGTTCTAGCTTACAATGGAGGAAGGTGGCAAGTAGTATAGCCCGTCCTTAGTTCCACTGTCTAAAGAGAAAGGAAAAACACGCAGCTTAATTTGCTCCTCATCCACCCCTGGTGGCTTCATAGTGCTGCAAACTACATGGAACTCCTTCAGATGTTTGTGAGGATCCTCACCTGCAAGACCATGAAATTTAGGAAGCAAGTGTATCAGTCCAGACTTAAGCTCAAAAGGTACATCAGGGTTAGCATAACGAATACACAGAGGCTGCTCAATATTAGCATCAGGTGCAGCCAATTGCTTAAGAGTCCTATTATCCATGGTCACAGAATGAAATAAATTACCTAAAGAATAAACACTATGTAAAGGACTTGAACAAACAAACTCAACAAACTCAACAGACTCAACAGACTCTAAGGTATGCTCAGGAACAGCTCTACTGTATGTCAACCTACGAGCTCTACTAGCTGCATGCAATGATCTTTCTATCTCAGGGTCATATGCATATAAATCGTCAACACTGGTAGTACTCCTAGTCATGCATCATAGGCACAAACATGCAGCAGTAAAATCACAAAACATACGATAGGACACAAAAACAACCGAAAATAGCAAACAGAAGCAAAAAATAAATGTACGAAAAATACTAAACGAACTCAGAATGATATGAGACCAACTCTCCTAAACTCTAAATGACCATACGGACTCAAATATTTTGCGATCACCAAACATTTTATTATTTTCTGTTCAGGTGAAGTCTCAAGGGGGTTACAACATCTATGTATTTGCAGTTACCGAGCACTTACCCAAGCTTGTACTTAGTTAAGAGGTGCATCAAATATTTTGAGTTTAAAACTTAGGATTTAATGCATGTTCTGATATTGTAGGATATAATTTATTTCTTACATATACATAAAGTGCGTAATGTCTATATTTTCTTTATTTTTCTTCTCCTCACACGACCCATATGGCTTCCATACATTTTTATACGTATGTAAGAGATAATTTTATCTCCTACAACATAAAAAATTAAACACTTAAACTTATTGTAAGGTTGTAAAGGGTGAATCTAATATCATAATATTAAATTCACATTTATGAACAAGCATTCTTGAGGAGACATTTGACATTCATCACACATTGCGAAAAACAATATATATATGGTTTAAAAAAAAAAACTTCTAGTTACTTTTCTCTTTGCATATGGTGCGTTTTTTTTTCTCACAACTTCAACACTTGTAATAGTTTTCTATAGTTCTACCCCTCTCTCTCTCTCTCTTATATATATATATATATATATATATATATATATATATATATATATATATATATATATATATCGGATAGGTTTTTCTACCTACTATTTTTTTTGCTTACCATATTTCAACATCATTAGATCAGAATAGGAGAGAGAAATAAAAAATATAGTTAGGATTCTAATATAACGGTGTTGAAGGGTGGTAGGCAGAAAAAATGATAGGTAAAATAACATATCCCTATATATATATATATATATATATATATATGGGCTTATCATTTCTCAAGCTGCCGGAGATAAAATTATCTCCGGCTACTAAATCATAACCGTACGAAGATGGATCAACGATGATAAAGGAAGAGAGAGAGAAACAAAATCATAATCATTCAAAGGTGAATCAATTAATATAAGGAAATAAATAAATAAAACGACGTAGTTTTAGGGTGACCGGAGATAAACTTATCTCAAGGCGCTTGAGAAATGTTTTTCCTATATATATATATATATATATATATATATATATATATATATATATATATATATATATATATATATATATATAAAGTATGACAAGAGTCAAAAAAAATATATAAAGTATGACAAGAGTCAAAAAAAATATGGTAACCGAATTTCATTCGTAAAATAACAACGTACATACCACGCTAAATCAACTCCATAATGCCAATTCAAGTTTGAAAGGAAGATAATTTGAAAGTTTTTCATTAAGTGATTATTGTGGTAATTCTTTCTGAGAAATGAAAATAGATGGAAATAGTTTGTTTCATGATTGAAACAGAACTCTCCCATTTTCAATGTTCATCTTGGTAAGGTGGATCTCCTGAGGAAGTAGATGATACTTGACACCATGAATCTCAAAGATCTTTTTCAATTCCAAGAGCAGCTCCGTTATCCTAAAGTTTCGCTCACTGTAGTTCTGATGGTTGATGGTGTGTTGCACACTTAAGCACAGCTTCAACTTGTCCACATTATCTATTTCTTTCGCTATCACAGTGTGCTTTGGATTCCAATACTTTGGCTTGCTCTCAATGTACCTAAATTCATGACCACAAATCTAACAAATATTAACAAAATAAAAACGTGCTTGTCTAGCTTAATTAGTAATTCCTCTCTCTCTCCCTCCCCACAAAAGATCCTATTGGTAGCAAAAAATAAAATAAGATAAAGTTGAGGATACAAAGTACAAGGAATAAAAAGAACTTACATTTGTATTGATTTCTTGAGTGCGACGATAGTCTCCATGGGAGTTGAGATATCAATAGTGAAATTAATTGAATCCCACATCTCTGGACTCCTATAGAAATTACTTATTGGCTTAGAGAGCAAAACCGCGTTAGGGTAGTATATTTTTTCATTGTCATATCGAAGAAACACTGTTGTCAAGATATTCATCTCTTCCACTATCATCTGTAAGTAGTACGTGTAAGTACAAAATTAAATGGATGCGGAAATTAAGTAATTTTTGTCTTTTAAGTAACCTGTATTTTAACCCAAAATTTTAATACGTTAACTGAAGCTTTTTTTAATGATTTATATTATTCTCTAATATATCCCCTAACAGAAAAGTCATTTGGGATTGAAACTTTAAAATATGATACCATGTATAGAATCATTTTAACCCAAAATCTTAATGTGTTAGGTGAAGTTTTTTTAATAGTTTAAATTATTCTCTAACAGAACCGAAATAGATATTCTCATGTCACACGATCTCATATGAGATGATCTCAGCCGTTCATAAACAAATCAACAATAATAAAAAACGAGAAAAAGAAAGCATTTAAGATATAGAATTAGGAAATGATAACTGATGACTGTTTATTTATAGTTGGATATCTCATATGATATCATCATGTTATAATTGCGACATGAGAGGATCCATTTCCATCTAATCCTTATTGGTAGTAGGAATTTTTTGAGATTCTCAGAAAAATGACAGTGATAATCTTATTTACTCACGTTTGGTATAAGGTTTCTGAATTTTTTTCGGAAATTTAGTTTTCTCAAGATTTTGTTTTGTGTATAATTTTTTTCAAAATGTCATCCAAGAATACCACCAAAAAAGTGATATTCTTGGAATTCCAGGTGTTGAAAAAATTTACACTTTTTTTGGGACAAAATCCTAATAATATTTTGACCAACCAAACAACTTTTTAGTAATATTTCAGAAAAAGTAACTTTTCCACCGTATTCCTAAAAATCATAATTACTAGCCAAAAAAAAAAATATATATCTTTTACTAACCGCCCCTAGTGACAGTGTAATAGCAAAAGGGAAATTATGTAATACCAGCTTGTTTATTAAGCTTGTGAAATTACCTGAACACCATCAATGACGCAACGGTCTCCAATATCAAAAGGGTGCATGACGAAGACAAAGATTATGGCTTCCAAGACTGTTTTGCAAGTACCTTGGAAGGCCACCCCTATTAAGACTATTTGTGTAATACAGAATAATATTATCTTGAGCGTAGCCACCCCCATCAGCAAAAGCATCACAATTATTATTATCACACTTACAACTGCGCTTGCTATTTTGTGAAGCTGCTGCACTGCTGTTTTTGTATCATTGAGTGATTGTGCTAGAGCTTTTCGTTCATAATAGGCTCGAATCTGATTACAATTTCATTAGCTAATTAATTATCAATGTTATACTATTTAATTAGTTTAATTACTTGTACCTTTGAAATAATATATTAAAAGAAATTTTAGATAAGACTAGATGTCTGTCAGCCAAATTAATTAAAGAAAAAGAGAGGAATAAGTATATAAAAAACAAAACAAAATGAGTAAGACAAACAACTTGGTAATCTAGGAAATGTGATTCATAAAAAATTTACAATTAAAACTTACCACCCAATTTCTAAATGAAGATCTGCCGATCTTTCCAGTTTCAAGAGCACCTTCAAAGAGTGGGAATATGGTATGTATCTCAACCCTCTTCAAAAATCTCATGAGATCCTCCTCTTCAATATACCTTCAATTAATTAGAAAATACCATATTTGAATCAGATAGTACTCAGTGATTTTTTAATCAAAAATCAATTACCTGTTCGTATTGAATCAATTTCTTGCTTTTGCATATTCACCAAAATAAAATGGATTATGACACTTTTTTTTTTTTTTTGTTACACGGTTTATGACACTTTTAGTACTTTAAATCTAACATTATATTAAAGATGGATGCAAAAATGTTTAAGTCAGCTCAGTTACCATGTCATCATGAATAAACTTTTGGGAAGTAAAGAAAATCTTGTTAGAAAAGTCTAATATAAAATTAATAAATTGGTATTTGCTTAAGATTTTAGATGAGATGATTCTTTAATATGGTATTAGAGCGGGGGACTAAGTGATCACGAATTTGACACACAGCCGCTCACTTTTTTAATGAATATTTAAGTTTGAATTTGTTTAACATATGTATATATGTGAAATTTAGCATGTGTATGTATCTGTACGAGCACTTTACAAATCTCATAGCTAAAGTGGGTGCAGAGACCACTAAGTAATTCAGTCAAAACTCTAGCTTCTTTATTGTGAAACTAATATTAAGCATCCATGGCTGGCCCAGTTCTGGATCAAGCTTAAACAGAAACCATTTGGTTGGAATTGTTGAATCAGACCCGAAACTATGTCGATTGGTGGGCTTGAACACATGATTATGGAGCTATTAGCAGTTCTGGCCTGATCAAATATCTCGTCCCACTTTATTCTCCATAAGATGGAGAATATATTATTTGGAGTTGTGGAGCAGTGCTTTTCGTGGGCCAAGATAATGGACCAAATGTGCAAAACACTTGGCCTTAGTGGGATATACAGTACATCAATGAAAGGTTGAATGGTGGTGCTGAAAGCATGGACAAAAAAGGGCTATTGTCATGCTAGCTAGTTCAAAATAATGACTAGAGTAGGAAACTGACAGAGCACTATCAACGTGACCTAAACCAACAACCAGTCACTTCAGTTCTGGTTTGTCAGGATTATATGGATCACATGACAAAAAAATCAAGGAACAATTAAATCCACATGAATGATTCTCGATAGTGAAAGACTAGAAAGAGTTACTCAACTTGAAACTCTTAAAGGGCCATTTCGTCAACTCAAGAGCTGTTGCTCTAATAGCGATCGTGTAAAATTTCATGATTTTACTTGCTAAAAGGGTAATAGGTTTGATTATGTAACTACCGAAAAGAAAAGGGTGAAGAGACTCAGATCCAAAACTAAATTAATCGAATCCATTAAAGTTTGGGACACCAATTAATATTACAAGAAAACAACCACTGGCCCTCTGGTCCACATTCCATTCACCCACTTTATAGTGGGTTACAGTATAGGGTGATCACAACCCTCCAATATATCTAGCATAACTAATTTTGGGTATTTAATCATTTACAACCACCCCGGTTAGTGATTCAGAAATTGTGTCATGAAATACTGAATTTGATGACGTTTTGTGCAGATATTAATTTTTGGTACTGAGTACCAATCTTATTAAACTCTGATCGACCTGATCGGGGTACGGGATTAGTGGGTCACTGGTTCAATCAGTGAGTCACTAGTTTAACTGCATGAATCGGATATATATATATATATATATATAAATTTATATTTTATACTCAATTATATAATAAATATTTTAAATGGTACAAGTGAATTAAGAACCAAATGTAGTTTATTAGTAAAGATTATAATTTATATCTTCATAACAAGAGTTCGATTCTCACTAAATACTATTTTGAAATAATTCTATTAAATGATAATATATATATATATATATATATATATATATATATATATATATATATATTAAATGATGCATATTAACCAACAAACAAACTCAGAACTGCAACATTGAAAATATTTTTTCAAAAATCAATTTGAGCTATAAAATCGGTCCACCGGGCCAACCAGTCAGACCGGCCTGGCTGGTCCGATTTTAACAACATTCGCTAAAAAGGACTCATCTAATGTATTTCACCAACTTCTTTAATTTTAATGATACACGAGTCTTAGTGTTTCTAACTTTAGCAAGGAAATGTATATTAGCTACAAGAAAACAACTTGAGCTGTTAGGCAAATTGGTTGCACCCAAGGTGACTAGCTGGTCATGAGTTTCATTATTACTGCTCTCATTCTATTAATTAAAATAATTAAATATTATGGAATCTCTTAACACACGTAAATTAGGATTGATGTATCATTCATGTACCTTTCAAGTCCAATAAACTTTTGTAAGAGAGTGCATGTTAAAAAGTATAAAACTATTAATATAGTCTCACCTAACAAGTTAAACTTTTGGATTAAAATAATTATTTACCACATTAGATTAATTAATAGTTTAGCCGTAGAAGGAGTGATACTTACTTGGCACCAGGTTTGGCAACGTTCTTGAATATCCTTTGGGCACAATTTCTAGCTTCCCACTCACTACTAATCTCAGACTCAGCGTTACCAAAATCATCGACAGTCCTTGAAATAGTGGACAAACCTGAGCACATAACATAGTTAACAAGCTTTTTCACACTCCATATAGATGCTGTGCTTTCCATGCTAAGTTCTCTCAGCTTCTCCATATCAATCTTCCTTGACCCAAATCTCTTTGACTTGTAAAAATTCCTTGCATCCTTCCATCTAGCTGGCATGGACTTTGATCCTTTTAGATTATGCTGCTTCAATATCTCTTCAGCATCTTCCATTGGTGGACTTGACAATGTGTCCAATATATAGTGATGAAAAACGCTCTCTTTCATTCTATCAAAGTATGTTGTTACATGAAACGAAGAGGCAAGCATTTTCACCAAAACAATCTTCACTAGCCAAATGATAGCACCAACTAAGAAAGCAACTAATGCTTGAAACACCTTATTGAGGAACTTGTGGTTTTTCTTCTGGACATCATCGAATACCACACTCCAATAAGAGAGCAAAACGAGGCTTAACCATAAACAGTTTCTTATGCTCTTCCTGAGTCCATAAATGAAGTATAAAACCTTTTCTCTCAGCATGAAGTTTCTCTCTAAAAAGAAAACAGTTACACCAACTAACCACCCTGAAACCAGACGGCCACTGAATGTTACCATTGCCATCAAACACCACTTCCAAATCTCCAAACCCCACACATGAATATTTTTTATGGAAGTTATTGATAGAGAACACACCAAGCAAGTTAATATGTTGAGAAACAAAACCCACTCCACAACATGCCTCCACTTCACCTTAAACTTTCTCTTTTTCTGTAACTTTAGATTATGCTCTTCACCATCCTCCTCAAGCTCTTCTTCTTCATCGAATTCCCACTTGTCATCATCGTCGTCGTCGTCGTTATCGTCATCTTCGACCACGGAAGAGATCTTATATGAAGGTTGAATGTCACTATCTTCAGAGGTTGTTAGTTTGTTGCGGGGTGGATAGTTATATTCTAGGATTCGGGATTTGGGTTTGGAGAAGCTGAGACGTTTAAGAGTTTTGACTCTTAAAGGGTGTTTGGGCTTCTCATAAGGTTCAGAACTCTGGCTATTTTCAGTGTTGTGTTGGTCAATGAAGAGAACAACATGATCTGAGGACCTTCTGTTCTCCATTTCAGAGGGCAGGGTAGAGAGCAGTGAGAACTTCTCTTGCTTAGAGTTGGTAGGAGACTGGACATTTAAATACCTATTAATCATACAAAATAAAGAAAGAGAACATTTTCTCATGTAATAAGAGAGTTATTTTCTTTTACCGGTGACTCTTTGATTTTTGTGCAATATTTTTTTAATAGATTTGGACTCCACATAAGATGTGTCTACAACATGAGAAAATTTTCTCATGTTACATGAAAAAATTGAAACCCATAAAGAAATTAGTGTGATGCCCCTTTTTTTAAATAAAATATAAGTTGTTAAATATTTTTGTTAGTATAACTACCATTATATGTATAAAAATTCTGACTTTTTTTTTTGGTGAGGAAATTCTGACTTTTTTTATTATGTAAGAAGTTATTTTTCAATCTTTAATTTTTCATTTCTTTTATTTATATTTCTCTTTATATCTTAGGGACAAGGTTTTTCCTACACGAAATTTTACTCAGGAGAGATTTTAATGTGGATTTTCAGTGTAGTAGTTATTCTTTTGATATATTTTATGGCTTTATGTCATTTTTTCCGCTGTAGTAATTATTTTATTTTATTTTAATAAAAAAGAGTTAGGTGTCAAGAGTCTCAACCTAATTAGAATGCTTAACACTTTATAATACTATATTATAAAAATTACACTAGCAAAATACTCTGAAAGTCATGTATCAAAAAAAAAAAAAAAAAAAAAAAACTCTGAAAATCACGTGTGGAAAAACATCACCAACGTTTGCAAGTTGAAAATAAGAATTTAGCCTAGTTCTGAAAGTGCTAGTACGTATAGTGCGCGCATGCTGTGGTAAAGAGGGACGCCGTCCTCCTCGACCACTTACTAATTTCTACAGTGAAATTATAGCGTCTATAGGATAAAGGACTATCGTCATAAAAAAATAATACTAGTAATATATCAAAAGAAAAACAATACATACTATGCCAAAAAGTTTTAAACATTTTTTTAATGTTATTTTGTGAGTTTTGTCCTTAAATTTACAAAATCTATCAATAAATTTATAAATTTTTTTTCATAAATCTAGGAATTTTCTTATAAAAAGCTACAAAATTATAAAAGGAAACGATATACCCCCTTTTCCATGATAAAAACTTATAAGAAATGCGCATGATAGTAACATCCATGACGAAATGACATTACTTTAATTTTCCATGGTAGATGAGACATAAGTGATAAAGTCAAGATATGTTTCATCATCGTTTGAAGCACTAAAAATGCATATCGATTGTTTGATTATATATGGTTAGATCTTGCCAAAGAAGTAGGATTAAATTAAGCAGATAGTAACATGCTGCTAAACAAGACCAAGTTACATAAACTCATTAAAGGGAAGTTTTAACAATGCCCAGCACATATCAAAAGGAGAGGATCCTAACAATAGACACATAGCAGATTTGCTGAAAGGCGAAGGCATAATAAGGTTAACAAACTCATGAATTGATGAGAGCAATATAGTTTTGCTATTTTACCAAAAGCTCATTTAGACTTAAGTACATTAGAAGAGCTCAAGAAGTCTAGAGATAGAGTTTCTTGGTGCCTATATATAATCCTTCTTTAATCATGAGTTGTAAGAGTCTTAGTGAGATTAGAAAATTAAAATCCTAGAGTGCCCAAGCACTCCCCTTCCCCTTGCTAGAGAATAGTCTGCAAGATACTACCGTCCTATAATCGTATTCTGCAAGGAGATTCTAATGTGTTGCAAAAAGATTCCATCATGGTGTGAGGAGATTCAACAAACGCAGTTGCAAGGAATCACAACACTGGGCATAAGGGATTACAACACCCCTAAAAGGGGATATACCTCGTGTGTCTGCACTACAAGAGGTATAAGTATATATGACAAAGAACCATGATGATTCATTGCATTTCAAACCGCAAAGATCCCTTATGCTTCTGTCGATCCAATTATTCCTACAATTTGTATTAGATATGGATTGTGGGCTTGGGTGTAAATCTAGTTCTATGGGTTTATTCATGTAATTAGTTTGTCTCATGAGATATATTATATGGGTTGTATATATGTTTATGTTTTATAATTCTTTTCATAAAAATTGATGCTTTATAATTTGGCTTTTGGCTTCAATCCATGGTAGCGATTTAGTGTATTTCTTTTTAGGATTATAACAAAGGGCTAATCCTTTATGATTAGGTTTCCTCCTTAATTTTAATTTTGTTTCTTTTTCATTGTATTAAATAATTGTTATGAAAGGAAAATCGAAAAAAGCAAAATTAAGACTTGTTCACGATCAATCGATGGCCGATTCAAGAAATCAACACTATAACGTTAAAGAGGACGGAAAGACTATAAAAATGAGAAATGGAGCAACCCCGGAAACTATTGCATGCAACCTTATTCACCACCAGAAGTTATTGTGTGTGGGCTTCTCGCGCTAGCATAAATTCAGCATGTGAGGGTGCATCCGATGACATTTTGTGGCGGCTCCGATAATGGCATGTTCCTCTCCTCACAGCTTTCCTGACCCTAGGTTTGCATGTTGAGGCGACTTCATATGACATTATAATGGGCGTGATAGTTAGAGTTACCAAGAAAAAGGTTAGGGTTTATTGCAAAGTTTTGGTATTTGGAGCCTTTAAGCTCGTGGTTTTCAAAAGAGCTTGATCTAGAAACTCATGGAAGAAAAATAGATTTACTAGTCAAAAAATATTTAGTTGTAAGATATCAGCTTTATTTAGATTACTGTGGGCTCCGTCAAGTCAATCCTAAATCTATTCCCCATCTTAATTCTTCCACTTCTCTCAAAACCCTCAGTGTTTCAAGCAATGAGTTAAACTCTTCAATTCGATCTGTCATGGGTGTTTAAAGCATTTAAAGTCCTCACATAACTTGATCTCTCATATAATATTTTGCAACATTCCATATAGCTTTGCAAACATGATTTATCTTCAATATCTACACCTCTCAAGTAAAGAATTTGAGGGTAGCATACCACAATCCTTTCAAAATTTATGTTAACCTAAAAAGTTATTGCTAGATTCCAACAAAATGTCTAGCCCACTCAGTGACAATGTTCAAAACTTGGGTTGTGCACAAAATGGTTTAGGCTTGTTGGATCTCAACCACAGCCTATTTAATAGTGGTCCACTTCCTAATTTTTCATGGCTTTCACCTTCAAATCATTATCACTTCAGAATAATAATATTGTTGGGTCATTACCACAATCATTTGGTCACTTGCCTTATCTTGCATATCTAGATCTAGGTTTCAAACTAACTGAGTGGATCACTACCTTTATTCAAGGTTATAGTACTAATCTCATTAGAAGAATTGGATCTTTCCTATAATCAGTTGAACGAGAAACTTCCATATATTATTAGATAACTTTCTAGTCTTAAAATCTTATATTTCTCTTCAAATGAGTTGAATGGTTTCATTAGTGAAACGCATCTATCAAATCTATCTAGTTTGATAATTTTAGATGTGGCTCACAATTCACTTTCTTTCAACTTGAGTTCAAATTGGGTTCAACCTTTTCAATTGTATGAATTATATGCATCATCGTGCATTTTGGGTTCTAAATTTCCATAATGGCTCAAACATCAAAAGGTACTTGAGGTGCTGGGAATCTCTAGTAGTGGTATTTCAGATCCATTTCCTCAATGGTTTTGGGACCTATCTTCAGGTTAGCAGTACTTGAATGTTTCAGATAACAAACTTAGCGAAGCCTTGCCAAAATCATTACCAAGAATGGAAACAACATTCCCCAGTGTACGGGGTTTTAGTTTCAACAATATGTCTGGTTCCCTACCTCATTGTCTAGAAAGCATATATAATCTAATTCTCTCAAATAATGTTTTTAAGGTCTTTATCTTCCTTTTGTACAACTTCATCATTGAAACATGCTTTTAGGGGAAATTTCAAAGGTTGGAATTTCTGAATTTGGTAAACAATAATTTCTGAAGTTCTGAAACATGATTGAGACAATGCATTTAAATAACAACGAATTCTCTGGTTAAATTTCATCTTTAACTCTTTGTAGCAAATTGACATTCATTGTGTAATACTCTGTTTACAACCGGTGTATTATAATTACATATGGTATTAAGTGCAGCATAAAAAGGGAGTAACTAACGAACATGTATTTTTACTTAGGTATTTTATCTACTAATATTATTAACTTATCAACTTAACTATTTAAAAATTCATATAGATTACTTTAAATTCTATAATCTACCTTAATATATATCAATACTTTAGGTGTAACACCCCATTTTCTAAACAAAATATTACACCCTTAACGGTACAGAGTAAGCATCAAAATCTATAGTTGCAGAAGAATCCATGTAGATATCACAATAGTTATTTCAAAACTACATGATAATTAAAACTTTTCATGTATTCTTTATTGTTCATAATTTGCAAATTATTAAAATCTTACTTCAAATCCTATTAACCTTATTTAAAGAAACACGGACAGCATAACCTCTAAAAATTGAACAAAACAAAACATCTTATCACCTGTAAATTTAGAACCATCCAAAGCACAATATAATTATATCCAACATGTTAACCACGTAACTTAAATCTATGCATAACCAACACCAATACGATATTTTCATACTACGGGTATAACTAGTAGCGTAATGCCTGTTTGCTGATGCCACTATTCCACAATCTGTTCTTAAGATACAAACCATCATTTACATATACCAAACACCACAAGCTTATTTCGCAAGCGACTTAGATAACAATAATAGATACACAAAACCTATTAACACGTCCAAACATCCAGATGACACAGGCGTCCTCCTGTGTCTGCTGACCTTTTTAATCTGATTCCTTTTTCCTTGAAGAACCACCACTCGATTATGAACCTAAAAAATGTCCCCATAACACGGGGTGACATTGATAATCCTAGTAAACTAAATGTTTGTAGAATGTTCTCCCGTTCTAATACTCACTTCCTGCATAATTGGTTAGTATACACAGAACAACAGAAATACATACAATTCATGCAACTTCTTACAAACAAATTCATTTATTTATTATCTTGCAGTTAGTTACACACAGTCATCACATAACCTTGTGGTCATTGTTTATTAATTTAAGCAGTACAATTTTAAAAACATATAACATACAAGATTCTACTTACACACTACTTACACACAATTGTACAATAAATAACTTATATTAATTTATTATTTTAAGTTATCAAATACCACAATTTTTACAGAAACTTTTACTGTATTTAGTGCTACAGTTCTCACAGAAGCTTTCATTTTCTCCTGCTAACTTGATATTCTCGGATATTATTTCCAAGTATCATAGCATCCAAAATATATTAATTCACCAATTTCTTTAAATTTAATTTCAGTAATTCTATATGTTAAAATACAACAGAACGTGTAAACCTACAGAAATCACACAAACAGCAGAACATCAAGAGACTTCATAAATATAGTAAATCAAACAAATAGCAGAAATTCAACAAAATCAGTAACCGTATTTAATTTAACAAACAACAAAAAAATTAACAGAATTAGTATATACGATTAATTAACAAATAGCAGAAAATAAACAGAATCAGTAAACGTAATTAATTAAACAAATAGCAAAAAATAAACAGAATCAGTAAACGTAATTAATTAAACAAGTAGCAAAAAATAAACAGAATCAGTACACATAATTAATTAAACAACAGCAAAGAATAAACAAAATCAGTAAACGTGATTAATTAAACACACAACTAAAAATAAATAGAATTAGTAATCATAATTTAATCAACAAGCAAACACACCAAATAATTATCAGACAATACAACACACAGTATATAAATACAAACATCTACGCTTTTACTTTATAGAATAACCGTAACCACTCAAATACCAATTGTTTTCACAATAACTCAGAATTTATTCCACCAGAGCCACTCATTATTTGAATGTACTCTACTTGTACGACCATATTTTTACTGGCCTTGTACTGGAATTTCGCTTATAATATAAATATCTATACACTTATATATAAATTATATACGGATTCACATCATCATTTATCATTTCGTCATCAGCATAAAGCTTTATTTCAGTACGCACACATATTCTTCAATTTAGAGATTCCTTAAACCTGTATAATAGTCCTAGCATAATTAATTAGTAAATTACATGTAATTAAGTAGTTAAGCATGTATTAGGGAGTAAAATTAAGTATAAGGCCTAATTAAATGAATTAGGGTCACTTTTGCGGTAAAAAGTGCAGTCAGTGAAAATTATGGGGTAAAAATAGGTGTAGGCAAAAGTACCCAAAATATAAAAATTAGAAATAGTCTTAGAAAAATAATTCAGACCATTGGGTAAAGTTTGAAGGAGAACAGAGTTAAATTGATAGATGAGCTATTACCCGGTTGAATTGAACTTAGCTATGTTAAGTTGGAAAAAACAACAAAAGCCCTATTTCTTCATCTCCTGCGTCGACTAAAAGCAGAGGAAAGGAAAGGAGAAACCATTTTGGAGAGCAAACCATGGCCACTCTATTTCTCAACAATTTTTAGTGATTCAAAAGAAAAAACCACTTAGAATCTTCCTCTCATCCCTAATCCTAGCTTGGTTTTGAGTGAAGAGCATTGTGGTGTCAGATTTTTCTTCCCAAAATTTTGCCCCTTTGAAGATTGAAAGGGTTTGGGAGCATTTCAATTCTTGGGGACTTAGGGAACACTCATTCCATGGTTGTGCAAGCATTTGTGGTAAGTTTCCACTCCTTGAACTTTGTTTTCATGAAGATTGCAAGATTGAGGAAGATGATGAATAATGTCATTGTGGGTGGTATAAGTTTGAGTTTGATTTAAACTTAATCCCTTTCTAATAGTTGTTAGAAATGATAAATAAACGGTAGAAATGAGTTTGGTTAGTCATTTAGTTATTGTTCAATATATTGGAAAATTCATGCTTGGGCTTGTGAGTCTTCTAGCATTTTGAGCAATTAGTGAGTTAGATGATTGATTGTGCCCTTGTGTTGCTAGGATTAAGGCAAATGGATCAACTTTGAGTGAGCATACATTAGAGCAAGCTATGGAGCTTGATTAGCTAATTTGGATTGGTAAGTCATGCCAAGTGGTGGTATGAAATTGTTGTTTTGTTGGTGAATATGTTAATATTCATTAACTTGTATTGATTGATTGTGTGACACCTTGGTGTAAGTGTGTATTTTACAAATTGTAGCTTGAATTCAGAGTTTGATTGGTTGCAAACTTGTTGGTGAACAAAGGTTGAATTGGAGCATTGAGGTAAGCCTTTGAACCTTGGGTGTTAATCCCTTGATTGTTCCACCAAGCCCGGAATGGGTAATGGTTATTGATAGTGTATGTAAATGCAATAAAGTGGTTTAATGCTTTGTTATACGTATGTGTATGCTTTGGGTGTGGCATAGGATGGTGTTTCCCTATGTTTTGTATGTTGCATGACGATGCGTAATTCATACTTGATAGTTTAGCTGGCCAGTAGGACTATTTTGCATCTAAGTATCCTTAGGACAACATGAGAGCTCGAGGGATGTCTCTTGGAGATGTTTTTACACACTGCATGGATATGTATTTATTGCATTATTTACGGTTATTGCTATTATACTGTGAGTGAACTATGGGGGTGGAGAAATACTCCAAGGACCCCTGGTTTACTGAAATGTATTCGTATATCTAACCCTGTGTTGTGGGGACTAGATTGTGGTGGCAAGTGGCCATACTTGGACTAGATTGATATATGAAGATGTTGCATTATTTTGGTTATGCATGACATTTAGTAGTTCCATGTATAGGATTCACATTTGAAAGCCAATTGATATATGTACATCATGTTCTATTTTGGTGGACTTAGCCTATGCTCATTTCCTTTGGTGTCTCTTTTGTTGATGGGAGCCAAGGATTTGATCATAGTATTTTGTAGCTAAGTCCCATGGTTATGTATTAAAGACACTTGGATATTGTGTAATATTGTTCTTATTGTAGAAGTGATGGAAGGGCATGGATGCCATTTGATAAATGTGTCTTAACATAATTAAGGATCATGTATTGAAGTGATGGTATGATGTCTATTAGTTGTTAAGAGAATGGTGAAAGAGGGAGAAAATCTCTCATGAAAACAGGGGAGGGAATGTTTTGCCCTGCTAGAGAGTGTTTAGAGCTGATAAGGGCGTTTTAACGCGCAGTTGGGCGCTAAAACTCTCAAGTGGGCGTTTTAACGCGCAAGTTGGGCGCTAAAATGCGCTGAAGACCTCTAGGAGGCAAAATTCACTGCCTACGGGCGTTTTAACGCCCAGTTGGGCGCTAAAACGCTATACCCGAAAAATCAGTAAAAACTCAGTTTATTAAAACTGGCATTACTCGAGCTACAAAGCTCCGATTTGAGCGCGTTTTGAACCCACTCGAAGATAACAAGGAGATCTATAACATAGTAGGAGATGAGAACTATAGAGAAGTGTAGAATTAATATAACATTAAAAGAGACTAAGACATTTAACGACATGTGGTCTAATAAAATGAGAATATGATGTTGAGCTTAGTTTCATTTATTCCGCAACGTCATATGGTTATGATCACGTAATCGGTTATTTTAAATTCGGATTTTTTCAAAAAGAAAATTTTATCCGGATTTCTAATTGAACTAATGTGATTGTAACTGCGCTTAATATCATAATGCATTGTTAACAAACCGCTTCTAAAACGGGAGTTACAACTTGCTGTCACAAAATTACAGTACACACATTTTTAAACACTGTCATTTCATAGACATAATTAATTCATCCTTAAAATGATGCAAGTC